ATATTAGAAGTCATACGTCAAGTACTTTTACAACTAACACTAGCTTTATGGAATCGATTGTCATACATCTGTTTTGCGTTTCTACAACCGCATTGGCCATCAGCGCATGTGTCTTTACAACCACACACTATCCGTCGACTGCTGCTCGATGCAACCCCCACTGTGCTTTGGGCTCTTGCTGTCTTTCTCAATGTTACTTTTTTTCTTGTGGTATATTACCCAACCAGGAAACTCTGCTGCTTCCACTAATTCAAGTCATTGCATCCATAATAACATTTTATTTCGATTAGGTAATGGTTGTCCCTAATGTGTCGATCGATAGTGGAAATAGGACGATGACTATAGATTCAATTTGAAAGCCCATTTTCCTTTCGAGAGAGAGACTACCTCCCTCTGCATACTGAGTACTTATTATATTAGTTTTGGACAAAATAATAATTGTGGACATACATTTGATTATAGGCTGTAAGTTTCTGCTTCATTTTGTCAGCATTTTTATCTATACTAATAAATGCAATTGTACAGTACATATGATTGCTCTGTTTCGCATTCTTATTTATTAATATGACAACACGTAGCATTTAGTTTGAATTATAATTACTGTGTTCTCCTATATATAACTATTGATCATAACAATAAAGTTACCATATAATTTGAGATTTCTGTAACAACGGTCATACTAACAACGAGAATTAACTAATAATAGTAATAGGCTGTTAAGATGTTTATTAAAACATTATAACAAGAACAAGAACACGACAATTATAGACAGTGATGATAATATTACAAGGTATTCGTAACAACGACAACAACAAAGGGATTAGCATTTCCGTGTAACATCAGAAAGTAGGATAGGAACTTTGTATGATAACGGCTTCATATCTGTTTATGCTTGGTCGGAAACACAAGGGCTACTGCTGTTATCGTTACAGTAGTCTTATTACGTAACTCAGCGTTTATCCGCTGATTGAGATAATAATAACGATAAGAAAAATGTTTAGGGACCCATCTCAATTTGACGGGATTTATACGATGACGGGATTTATGCACGACATATATATATCATCATATTACTAGCTGATACACTACAATTTTTTTGTGTAAATATGTTGGCTATCGAATAGTACCCTGGATTTAAAATTCGATTTCTCAACGAAGAAGCAAGATATTCGGGCAATATTTTATAAATACGATGGCGCTTCTTTTGTGCTTTTAATGGGTGTAAATTAATATGTGGGTTAATTTTTACCGATTTTTAAATATCCGTGTCGCATAACCTATTTACCTTTTTCGTAGGATAAAAGTCGGCTCTAGGTAAATTCGTAATTTTGTTACCTAACATATTGCAATTTTTGTATATACTATCTAGAAAGAGCACTAAATTATTAATTTTGCGGTGATTGCATTGCTCGTTATGCCAATATTCTCATTTAATTGCAAATATAGGAGGTCGGTGATTTTTGCCACGGGAGTGTACAATACGCTTCTACATATGGGGATGAAATAAAGTCAAAAGCCAGTCACTCGTCTAGCTCTACAGGTTTTCAATGACTGATGCAAAAGGAACAAACGAACGCCTTACAGTAGCCGAATCAATCGTCTCAGCGACTGCCCAGAAGTTTAGTGATTAGTCGGCGGTAATCTAATAGTGGCATTGTTAACATTCCAGCAACCCCCTCTCCGGTTAGAACGTATTTCTATTTTCAGTACTGGTGTCCTTTACATTAAGATAGTAATTAATCAAGTTTGGCTGTAATCGCCAATAGTGTATTAATCCTAAATATACTACAGTTTAAGTTGGAAAAATTGTACTCTGAGTATATTTACAGAATAGACCTATTAATAATTATTGCGTTAATCAAAAATTCAATTCCTCTCAAACTTCTATAACCAGCTCTTACACATTACTCTCTTCTTATCAATGTTCGTTCACACATCCTCGTCATTCTCAACATACAACGAATGTAACCTTCTTGCAAATTTACTGAATGTACTTAACGGCGTTCCAAAGAAAGCCTTTCCCTGAGCGGCAACCATCATATCAATCATGGGAAGCAAAAACCGTTTCATCGGCAAGCCGTCGGCCTCGTTGACAAACGCGGTTAATTCATCCATGAGCGGTTCGAAATCAGACATTGTCAGCGCACAAGGAAACATTTCAAATAATCGCTTTGAAATCGCGTCCGTACGCGGCCGGCGCATATCTGTTGCAATGTATATGGGAATGGAAGCGAGATTGTGAAGGCAATATTCGTGGGTGCCGAAAGATAGGTGTTCGACATGCTGCTTGGGGGAAACTTGCAATTCTTCTATTTGCGTGGTTAATGATTCTATGGTACGTTCTATTGCCTTGCGGAAGTAAGCATCACCGCGAATGTGCACTCCAACATAAGCACCCTTGCCACCGAGCAATGAAATTATCTTTTCGGCTATGGATATTATTCCGGGGTATGTGTATACTAGCTCGCGAACCATTCGTTTGTTGAATGCGTAATGTTCTGGTAGTTCAAACAGTACCCGACCGATACCGTAAAGTGTTTCAAAATAGACGAGTTTCTGCGGGATAGCCTGTAATGCCTCAAGAGATAGCCTGGCCTGGTATGCGCCGAGTGGAGTTTTGCTCTGCGGGTCATCGTATATCTTTGCACCGTACCTTACGGAATCGCGCAGGTAATGTATATCGCCATTTGTCAGATTGTACTTTGATTTCAGCCTGCCTAACGAAAAGTTATTCGACCATTCTATTCTCAGACCCTCTTTCTTTACAAATCGCACAATGTTTCCAAATATTTTGTCCCATCCGACTAGACTCCAACTGTCCCAGTAGTCGCATATATTACGGTTGCGCCAGTCGACACAATTTTCGCGGGAACGCGATTTGTTGAGTGTTTGTAGTGAATCGTATAGTTGCCGGAATGGGAGCCAAGCTACTCTGTGTTCGCCAAGAATTAGTGGAGGTAAGATCAATGTTCTGTTTGTGTAATATGCAAGCATAAGAGCATTCTCTAGAGATATGCGTTGATTGTTGAACTGACTATGTGGCAAGTATGTAAGGTACTTCTCTCCGGGTTCAGACGGTCCTGACGGTACCTGATATATAGATTCTCCATTGATCACTTTTATTCGTGATGCCAATTTGATACCGTATTCAGGGTCTATGGGAATAATGTCGCGTGTCTTATGAAACGGCCACGTCAGACTGAACTTCTTTTGATCATCTGGAATTTTGATAGGCCTAACGCTACCACTATCAAATCTATTATCGCCCTTAATGTTGTTGTGGACTTGTTCGACGGTATCGAAATGTAATATGTCGTAGATAAAGACATATATCACCGTAAGAGAAATTGAAACCAGGAATATGTGTGAAACAGAACGACGTCGACGTGTCCCATGGTGATAAAATGAACGTGAGTTTAGGGGCAAAATTCCCTTGCTCTTGAAGTTATTCATGTGAGTTATGTCTGCTGTAAGAAAAGTTGCAAAAAGTAGTAATTACTATGAGATAGCAGCGTTTTATGGGTGGAAAGAAAGATGTCATTTGACTCGATAATGCAGCCAACAATGTTAAAATAAACAAGTGAGTCATACTAAATATCAAACGCGAACTTGTACTAATAATACTTTACCACCATTTGGGCAAATCCAGAGCGGATATGGCCGCCCGTTATGTAATCGGGAACTCGATACATTGGCAGATCGAGCACGTAAAGACTTTTATAGAGTGTAATTGATTGGTGCTGGTGACATGAACTACTTCCACAGTTTGATCGGGAGTTCCAAGATTAGAAGGCCATTTGGTAACGCTTTATATAGTCCAACCCGGGTAACATCGGACTTTTTTGTCACTCAAAGTCTAAATGGATGAGCATCAAAAGGTTACGCACAATGTAATATTGGTGTACAATCTTAACCCGAAAAGGCAATCACATTTGACTTGCGCAATATGCGCATGCTTTTTTTGATTTATTAGTATTATGAATTATGAATATTGCTATTGTACATCTCATACTAATTCTACTCCCGCCTCTAAATCGTTGTTATATCAAAGCTGTTTCTGTATTAGATGAAACCTCCGATGGAGTTGCCGACTCTCCTGCAGGCTTTGTTGACGATAAGGTTGATGCGTATGCCCAGAGTTGATCGTCATCCATCAGTGAGGCAGCGTCCTTGGTTGTTGCATGATTATCATTATCATTATCATTATCGGTAACATTAATGTTCTTTTCAAGGTTGTCCTCCTCTTTAATGCTCTCACCGCTATTCTCACTCGCATCGTTAATACCAACATTGCTAATATAACTCTTTATCGTTTTATTATCACTATCAACATATGCATTCCATTCGTTCTCAAGATCCCATTTCCAAAACACTCCATGTAGTCTTCTCGCATGCTCGCTAAAGCTGCTAGCAGGTGTTCCAACAAACGCCCTTCCACGTGCGGCAACAACCATATCAATCATCGGAATCAAAAAGCTCTTCATCGGAATCTCATCAAAGTCTCTATTTCTGATAAAGTCCAAGTTGGACAGCTCGTCTTCGAAATCACTTAGCGTTCGTACGCAGTCGAATCTCTCGTATAGTTCTCTGAATACTTCAACGGTTCGTGACTGTTTCATCTCTGTTGCCATGTATATCATCTTGTTGGCGCATTTCTCTGCATACTCTTCGCCGGTTGGTTTGACAACTTCAAAAGGCCGAGCAGTAAACGTCTGTAAATTAGACAACGATTCGATCGACGTTATTATAGAGTGTACCGTGTTATCGTGCTCTCCGCGGAAATAGCTGTCACTCAATCGGACATGGACGCCGAGATACTTGTTGGAATTCCCGAGTTTTGAAATTATGCGATCTGCAGTAGAGAGAATCCCTGGGTATGTAAAGACGAGTTCGGATTTCATTTTCTGATACCAATCATTATTGTCGGCAAGTTCGTGAAGCACTCTGCCCGCACCAGCCAAGCTCTCAAAGTAGACCACTTTATGAGGAACCTGTTTGAAATTGTCCAAATCCAACTTGGCGACGAATCTGCCCAACGGTGTTTTCGACCTGTTGTCATCATAAATTTTTGCTCCGTACTGAACGGCGTCTTTAAGGTAATGCAGGTCTTCCGCCTTTGCTCCCGTATTCTCCATTATCCATTCTACCGATACGTTTCTAGTAAATACTGATCTGATACGTTGTTCTTTCATAAAAGACATCAATCTACCATATAGGTTGTTCCATTCGACCAAAGTCCAATCGTTCATCTGTTTGCACGAATCGGGTACTGCAGACAAATGATCGCCAACATAGAACGCGCAGTGGAGGTTGTTGTTCTTGTGAGTATGAATAGTGCTATTGTACAACTTGGAGAAAACGCGCCAGGAGTTTGATCGCCCAAGAATTATAGGTGGGATGATAAGGGTGCGGTTGGTATAATGAGCCAGGAGAAGAGCATTCTCGAGTGCTGTGTGTTGATTTTCAAAATTGCTATGTGGAAGCCAGGTTAGATATTTCTCCTCGGTGTTATTATCATTATCATTATCGTTATTCGTTTGTGCTTTGGGCACGATATAATTCAAAACGCCCTTCCTTCCACTCCGTCTGAGTCTGCATAATATATGCTCTCCGAAATCTTTGCTAAATTCATTCACGGGTTTTATAGGGCAGTCGTGTTTTGTGGACAACTCTTGAAACGCATTGTACTCTGACAGATAGTCATCGTAAATTATCACTTGACCGAAGCAAAGGAAAGCGAATAGGAAAAGGAAATATATAATTATTTTTCGAATACTAGGAAGTGATAACGTGCGATGGCTCTTCTTGGATCGGCTGGTGTTGGGCAATGATGGGTAGTCGGAAGGCGACGTTGTGCGGATATACGTAAGAAACATTTGAGAGAGTTACTATGCTGTTTTTCTATTTGTTTGTTAATTAAATGTAATATCTGCCTAAATGATTATCGTGAAGCTTCTATTATAGTAGTCATGAAATAATGCTAATTATATTGTACAAGTTTCTTGACAAATTTGATTGACAGTCAAAGCTATGTATTCGGCAGTAAGTCGTTCTGATCGTTTACGAGCCGTGAGATCCTGGAACGAACGTGGATGACAGTATTTAAAGAGTACATAAGCAGAGTAATTGTAGCACAACCAAAGCGTGGTTATTGGTACGATATATATTTAATACTAACAAAGAGGCAACCATAATTTTAAATAAACATGGGTGGTTGCACATAACGGTTATTTATAAGCGAAAAGGTTGACATTCCGAATATGTAAAGCAATCCAATCCCATTTATATGCCGTGACGATGTAATATTATTTACCATTTTTAAACCCACTGATTCTATTTTCCAAAATATTGCTCTTCTCATGACATAGTTTCATATCCCATATATCCATATCCTATATATCACAACAATATGCCGCTGATTTTCAAATTATATTGTGGCAAACAAACAGTAGAATGACACCAAACCACTGTCACTAACAAAATATTTAATTCGAAATATGTAAGACACCATCACAGTATCGATGAATGGTTCTTTGTGATATGAAAGAGAGACAGTGAAAGACATAGCATTTATGCAGAACGTCCGTGGACCAATCACGCTGTTTGTAACACAATGTTGAAAAATACCAAATTGAAATTACCAATCCGAAGGTCGATTTACACCGTGCAACGCACAATATCCAAACTTAACAACAAAAAAACTTTCTGTATATGGAAAATTAAAACACGATTATCACCAGTTGCCGGTACTATCGAACTAATTCAGTCCAGAGTAATTTCAGAAGTCCAATGGAAGACAGGTTACGTTCTTTCTTATCATTTAATCGATTAATACGATAGCCATAGATGCAGTGAATCTACATTAAGTCTGCATACATTTAAAAACTAATATTATCGAAAGCGACACACACGTTTCTCTTTGTAAAAGTTTTCGAGGTATTACCACAGCTAGTTTGATCCATTGTGTTCACATAATACAACTCGATACTGTAGTTAAAAGGCTATTGCAAATAAACTGAAGAATGTTGTTTATTGGTTTTATTTTCGATTAAAGATTTTCTGATGGAATTTTAAGTAATCGAGTCCGGGTTTTCATAGAATATCGATTTGAATTTTGAGCTGAAATAAGAGTTGTTCAATACGTAAATATTCTCTGTCAGTGAACATTACGTTTGAGGTTTCATAGAAACATTGGCGAAACGGCACAACCTTTATATTCTGTGTAGAACATATTGAATTGTTTAAAGGGCAAATTTCTTTTTCCTAATGTAATGTCAACTCAATTTTGTTACTTGGATTACGAGAAACCAATGCGTTAAAAAATAAATATAACGAAGAAAATAATTCAAGACAATATATGTACTGTATTATTAAGACATACAACTTCTTCTACTAATACCTATTAAACGTTAACGTGTTAACCACTATCTACGCAGATTCGCCGCTTAACAAATTTGTCAGGAATAAAGAGTAAACGATTGACAGATGAAAAGTCAACATTATCAACCAAACATTACAAGATATCTAATATCCGATAACTCTTTTGTAGACTCTTGTTGCTGACTTACTAATTCTTGCCATATTCACCAGACTCGATATTTGTGGTTTCATTCGGTACACTATGCATGGATGAATAATCCTCTCGATAGATGATAAGAATTGACCAATCAAAAGTGTTTAAACTGTCTTGGCATTCCTGTAGCACAAAATAATATTATTTCTTGGCAGCAACCAACTTACGATCAAGCTTTCGATACTCTCATATTTTGTCTGACAACTTATAGTTGTTTTCTGTAATGGTTTGGTTTGATTAAAATATTTAAAGTAAATACATAGTCAAATATTCGATGCCGCTATATAGTAGAGGTCCTGCGTTTGGAAAAGGAAGAATACCACGTAGTCTATTTTTCAGATATTCATAACTAGATAACATGCAAATTTATTTTCCTTCTTGTACAGATGTATTCACAAAGAAGATGGATTTTCTCCCGAAAAGAAGATATTTACTCTACTTTTCTCGAATTCATTCTCACATAACCATCGTGATGAGTGACAGGTAACAAATAAGACAAAAAGTATAAAGGCCTGACGCTTGAAGCCGACAATAAAGAACACGCAATTAATTAATCAAGCGTGCAATAGGCGACTCAGGATTAATAGAATTACATTCTCAAGAAATGGCTTGTACGGATTAACGTTTCTAATTGATCGTTCCCTCAGTCCTACCTAAAATCAGGTGAAGGTAAATGCATTACAGTATTTGTTACACTTTTAGAACAATAGAATGCCGCTGCATCTTTATTGTTTTCGTCTAAACAGCGCAATATTTCACGAACTCTGTTTCGGCTTCAAGAACTGTAACATTCAATTGGTGAGTATTACAACATAAAGACGTAAAATATTGTGCTTATCGCATGTGGTTGATTGGGCACTTTTAATTCTATCCAAGCACTCGTCGAGATGATATCTCGGTCGCTGTAAATTATGTGACACTCAACACCGCTGTCTATTACAGGCAGTATGCGAGCATCAAGAGTATACCTTTGAAATCGAGCTGTATACAGAACTGATCGAAATGGCATCAATCGTTCAACTAACTAATGATCAAAGATAAATTCCGTGAACTGTCTAAATATCTTATTTGGCCAATCAAATCAGGTTCTGGTTACTATTGGGAAATACGCTACATTTATGTACGAGACATAAGTATTCTGCCATTATATACTATGCAGGATGATTGTGCATGGCAGCGACCAGAAGATCAGCCTGTCAAAAGGCGGGAGTGAGGGTCGTACACTTACCACTAGTACTAGATACAGTTGTGCAGGAAACATCAAGTTATTTATAGATATAATAGAAAAACAAGTAATTGTCAATGTTCATCATCAAATGCAACATGAACGTCCAACATGCCGATAAGTAATCTTTCCTACTGAGGCAAAAGAATAGATCAAAGCCAATATTGGATATGACTTGTGGAATATAGAAGTTTGTCGGAGAATCTGTAGAGAAAGGCTCATCAATCCAGAGATACACACTAAGGAGCAAGTTTACTATTGGACATCCACTCATAAAAAAGATACTTACATTATGAATCAAGAAAATCAACTACTCTCTTGCAAAAATGTATCTTTAACAACCTGAATTTGTCGAAGGTTTCAAGGTAGTTGTTCATATAGAAAATAATTTTGTACGTGCCCTGGGATTTATAACACCATTATGGGAAAAATTGGTATTGTTGGAATTTATGTCGATTCTAAATTGATATATGTCAGATTGGAATTGGATAATCTATGAACGCAACGTATTTTATTATTTATTATCAAAATGATGTATGCATATGTTAACCGTAATACTCAATTCCATAGCTCTCACATATCAAAAGCTAATCATTTGTTTCAGCAAAAAGAAATGAGCTTATTACAATCCGAACTCTTGCTATTATTATCTTTTAATATTGGGAATCATACTGTTAATATTACATTATTAGGTACATGTTTCCTTATGTGCTATTGCGATTTACTTCATGTAGTTATTATCATATAGTTAAAGTTTAATTAACATGGCATGGCATTTATCAACCATATCATATTTACTGTTGTCGCTTGATCATTATCCTCATAAGAATGTAAGTAATAATATACGTGACTTATGAATTGTTATATAAAGCTCTTATACAAAATTATATCGCATAGGGTGTAATATCATTACTCGTTGCTAAATTGCATCGATGTTCTTTACACTATTCCCTCTGCATACATTTTCATTATGACAATCTAATTCGTACGTTGATGTTTTTATCATTATTAGTATAAAAGCAAATGTCTTTCAACCATCGAAATATGCATTATGTCTGAATTTGGTATTTGAAACTAATGTCAAGTGTCGAAACATTCGTGGAGAATTCTATCGCATTATTAAATAACGGGTTCAAATGTCATAAAGTTTTAGTCTTTGTTTAACCTGTCAAATTGCAATATTGTATATTAGTTAGACATCGTACGGTTAGATCAAAAGTCTATATTTACAGTCACCAATTACGTGTATTTTTCGATGCAATTATTGTACGGTTTAGATCAAATAGACTATATTTACAGTCTAATCGTAATGCTAAAAACTACACCAATAATTTCAATGCAAATCAACATGCGGTTAGATCAGCATTGACTATATTCAGTCTAAGCTTGTGCCAATAATTTTCAAATCATCGTGCGGTTAGATCAAAATAGACTATATTTAGTTTCAATGCAAATCATCAACACTAAAGATTCTATTCAATTCAATCAAATCATTGTATGATTAGTTACATTGACAGTCTAACCGTAGTGCTAAAAACTATAGGTCACTAATAGTCGGTTTGGTCAAGTTATTAGTAGGAGAAACACTCCGCACGAGTCACGTGTTAATCGCTCTCCCGTGACATTTGACTCGTGTAGATGAGAGGTATTAGTATACTAAATCCATTAACAGTGCAATGATTCATTATCTCATAACTAAACATATTTGTTTTTGCATTCAGTCTGATGATGATTTCATGCCTATCAGGCAACAAAGGCAGAAAAAACTATCACTATCAAAGGTTAGCACTGGGGCATGATAAAGAATTTGCTACTGTGGTTTACTCTCAAAATTTTTATTTTGCCAAACCTATGAGAGATATGCCATCATCTCCAGGAGTAGCTCCAGGAGAAACAACGATGCTGCCAAACCATTATCATCAAGTTCAGAGATGCCAGTTGATGTGGAAAGCATGGGGTATAGTAAAGATATTGCTAGTTCCAGGGATGGTACCCGCCTCATCAAATATTACTTGAATGATTATGCGATGAAAAATAACGGGCGAAATCCTCATTGTAAGGGATAAAGTGTTTGTTAAAATTTATATATTATATTATTAACCGCCTTACTGATCCTATTTCATTGTTCAAACATAACTTTATTGCAAGAGCTACGGTAACCCGCTAAAGCCAATTACTACTGTACTATGTATGGCAAATTCTCAGCCATACACCTTTTATATCCTACCCAATCATATTTAAGAAAACTCTTGTGTCATTAGTTTGCGATAACAAAAATAAGCACCCCTTTAACTGTAGGGGGTGCTGTCACAGCCTTATGTAACAAAATCACAGGCGTTATAAACATTTAGGGAGAGGTGCTACTTTCGGAACTGTACGGTATTTGTGTTTTAAATCGCGTGTGCAGTTGGCCCAATTTTTTGCAACATACCACATAGTAATAGCTGTTACAAATCAGAATTAGTAATAGGATCTTTTACCATGAGATTGACTATTCCTACTAATGCTAAACCTATAAACGACACTTGGTGACCTTAACGTTTGTTACGACGCTAGAATACGCTATCATCTATTTTCAATGGGATTAGTTATAGGTCGGGGAAATGAATTCTACAAGTAAAAAAAAGTCGTCAAACGCCATTGGGGAACAAGTATATTAGAACATCAACGAAATAACCAATAATTGCAAACTTTTTTAAGATTAACAATTTGGGTAACGCACAACACCAGCGCCACGATTTTAGAGTTCAACAAAGCTTTCCAAATGCCATCAATAATTTTTTTGTATCCTTACAAATACTATCAACGAGAAAAGAGACTGTAAAAGTTTAGATCGTAACTGCTTAAAAGGCAACAAGATGTTTTCTCCAACAGTTACTTATTAGAGTCTAGCAATGACATTCTCCTAACTATAGAATACGACGTATCGTATTATCGTCGATCAACCGGTTTGAGATCCACGAATATAGCAATAGACAAGCATGAATTTGTTAAAAAATTGTACGTCTTGTATTAGGCCTTGATAACACATTTATTATTACCCTCTTGATACTGCAATTGTCTATATAATACAGCGTCTATGTTACATAAACTAGTCAATTAAAAATCGCTTTCGCATTAACCAGCATAAACTTTACTGTCCTCAAATTCAGCTATCCCGTCAACATAGATTCTATGTAATTTGTACGCAAAATTACTAAAGGTGCTCCTTGCCGTTCCCACAAATTTTGTCCCTTTCGCAGCAACAACCATGTCAACCAACGGTATCAAAAACTTTTTCATCGGCAGTTGATCGACGTCGTTAACTATTTCGTCAAGCTCGGATAGAAGAGGAATAAAGTCATCCAAGACTGCGATGCACGGAAATGCTTCGTACAGCGGCGAGTAGAGATTGCTGGTTCGGGTCTTGTGGAAATCAGTTGCCATGTATATTAATGGCATGTTGGTGGAAAGAGTATAGTTGGCCAGGCATTCGTCGGTCGTTGAGAAATCTGTTGATGGCTTTATCTCCGAAGACGATCTCAAGGGTATGGTGAAATCCTTGAGTCGTTCGATTATTTGCTTAATGTTCGCTTCGCGGTTCCTTGAAAAGAATCCATCACTCACTCTAACGTGGATTCCCATGTAATTTTGCCTCCCCCCCAACCTTGCAATAATCTTATCCGCTGTCGGCAATACACCCGGATAAGTGATTGTCATTGACCTAACCATCCTGGAAAAGAATTCCCTGTGCTCCTTCACCTCGTGCATGATTCTTCCGGTACCATAGATACTCTCGAAATATACAACTCTGTGTGGAATCTCCATGAATTCGCTCAACTCCAACCGCCCGCGATAGCGGCCTAGGGGCGTAGTGGAAGACGGGTCATCATAAATTTTAGCACCATAGTACACACCATCTTTGAAGTAATGAAAGTCTTCACGGTCGACACCAGTATTGGCCATAATCCATTCTACAGAAATGTTCACGGTTGAGATTACTTTTAGGCCTTCGTTTTCGTAAAAGGCAGGGAGATCTCCAAATAAATGATCCCACGGCATGGTTGTCCATCTTTCATAGTGCCGACATTCTACCGGTACTTTTGACTTAACCTCTTCGCCTATATATTTTTTACAATGTTCCAGATGTTCTTTGGTATTACTATTAATGTTTTGCTTATAGAGTGTATCGAAAGGTCTCCACTGATTATGTCTTCCGAAATAGACGTATGGTAATATTAATGTTCTATTCGTATAGTGTGCAAGTAAGATTGCATTTTCGAGAGCTACGCGTTGGTTATTGAATTGATTATGTGGTAGATATGCAATATACTTTTCACCAGGTGGCGAGGGTCCATTAGGGACGATGTATTTGTGTGTATCCGGGTCAACACGGTCTTTGTACGAGACACCGTAATCTGAGGAAGGGTAGGCAAAGGGTGTTGGTTCAGGTTGAGTGAAGGATTCTGGAACTGAAATGTCCTCGGAATCTCCGGGCAGAGATGTCGCTTGGGAAGAGTCTGAAGACTCGATTACTTCATTCGGTATTTCTTCAGGGGGGTACCATTCGCTTTTGCTAAATATACTACTTTCATTGAGTATGTAGAGACTTGTCAGAAAGACCAGAACAAGCGTCAATAAATATTTTGGATTTCTTTGTTTCAAGATCCGCCACTTTCGCTTGTTATCTTGGGTACTGGTCATTTGAACTGGAGCGAAGACGCAAAGGGAATAGTTAGAGCTGTTCTAAACGTAAACAGGAGAGTTTTATTTATAGCATTTATTTTTAGTATTTTGTATCACAGTATGCAAGCCACTGTCGATCGTTCAAATATACAAAGGCAAATAGTAACATGTGTTCAGTCATACAAATTAAGTCTTACTTAAAAAGGAAACAAATCTTGGGAATGTATTTACTTTTTTTGTCATGCTAATACGGATATGGCTATATTTCATTGCTATTTTTACAGAAGTCTTTTTTTTTTAGACTGAGAATTCTTGAAAATCGTTGTGCTTTTATACTCTTACAAAAAGTAAATGAGTTATCGATTTATCGTAAGTCTTTTTCATGCAGTGCGACCTGACAACCAACCAAGTACGCACGTTATATTTAATAGCTGTGTATCCAGGGGTTATGTCAGGCTGATTGTTGCAGATTTTTTACCATTTCAAAAAATGTTTAATTAAAACCTTGCCAAGTCGACTTTAACCAAAAGTGAGAAGGATGAACATTGTCTTTCAATAAACTAAACAAATTTATTGATAATTTAGCCGAAAGACAGAAATACGGAAAACCGTGTGCTATCCGATTCGTTGGAGGAAAACCCTGCAGTCAACTGTTTCGATTGTTTGAAAGTGACCCGCAACAGTGTGACCTTGTACAAACTGTCAAGGGAATGGTATTACAAACAATATTAAAACTACATAAGGGCAATGCAAAAGAATTTCAGCTTACATGTGCGGGGTCGGAAAGATATGTTATTACGCATGAATAAGAGCTCAATGTCGCTAATGATTGTGACAATTATCATAGATTTCTTTCGGATATTCCCCCACGACGTTGTACTTAAAATTGCGCAGAAATAAAGCTCAATGTTACCATGCCAAATGTGGCACTGTACGACATAATAAATCAAATCACACCTTAACTTGTATATTTTGTTTACAAATAATTATTCATACTTTTCCCACGAAATGTAGTCTGGTGCTAATCGTTTATCCGCTAATGGTTTGGTCGGTGAAAAGAATCGTTTCGAACAGCCCTTTCCTCGATTCAAAAATCCAAAAGTTGACAGATCTATATTTAATTTCTGGGTCCTGTTTCTACATATTAGACAAACAGCCGTACCCCACAGCTGCCAGAAACGTTAAATGCTTGCGCAAACAAGCTGTGACATTATCTTCGGTGGCGTTAATTATGAAACTGAGAAGAAAGAGCATACACTGCCTCTATTGCTATTAAACTTGCCAAAAATCGCCCATTTGTTCGTTTACATGTTGACATCATACAGCGATAATCTCATTGTCGAAATAATTTACATACAACCTTTTTTATTGCCAAGCCAAATAGGACATTGTTCGGCACAAATAGTGGCCAATTACCCTAAATTCTTGGCCCATGCGCGTATGACAAGGTAAACCAGCACAATGATTGGTGTAAAATTTGACGTTGTCATTCCTTGGCATTTGTGTCTGATCCAATTCTAATAATAAATTTATCTACGTTTTGAGTTTGAACAAGCATCTAGGATATCAAAAGATGCGTAAATTTATTGATAACCCCATAATAATAATGTTTTATTCTGCTAACAATTAACGCTATGTATGGTTAGAGTTACCAACAATTGAATACGAGAATGTCTAGATCCACGGGCAATTAGAAAATTATTTTAAGTATCGTAAGATGTTTAACGTCTATTTATTTTACAGTACAAACTCAATTTTAAAACGCAAGTATAGAAATAAATAAAGCTAAGCTACAGTTATTTCGAATTGCAGATTGCGTACAAAGAGGCTGGCGCATTTCTGCAGCTGCTTTCTGATACAGCTCAACTGCTTTTTGAATATTCTTTTTCCATTGTCCAGAGGTTATTCGTGCAGGTGATATCAACAGAGCCGTTCTTGGCATTATATGGTTGGCCCACTTGTGTATGACAATTTTATTCCCGTTGTTGATTTTTCGTGTCACAGCTAAGGTGGACCTCTAGAGCTGCTTTTATTTCCATTGTTAAATGCACTTGCATCGTTACGGGGCCGTTAAAGCTATGCAGCAATATCATGAAAAGAGTGGTGATAAATCTTCGAGGGACATGAGTGGCATCATTCGCGTAATAGCCTAAGGTTTTAGTTCTTACAGGAGCTTTTTCAATCGAAAGATTTCGGGCAGGTGTAGGATCTTTTTTTATCGCATCTCGTCTGCATGAAGGTGGCTATCGTGTCTATTAATATCCAAATGCCTTATTGGCCGGCTCGACTGCATGGATTATTTGGAAAAGAATTGGTTTGGGTAATGTCAGGGTGCTGAAATTGACAACGAAGCGTCACCGTCCAGTGAACCGAGCTTGAATGATTACCAGTTTCATAAACTTTAGATTAATTGGCTCTCAATATTTTTACTTTTTAATAAATAATATTCAATGATTCACCCGGTAAAGGTAGCTAACAGTAAACATGCACGATTTTATTTCGGAATCCTGTTGACTCGAGCAATATTGACATACGTGGCGTGGAAGCATATCGTATATTGGAAGAGGAATAAACCACTGAATAAAACTGTAAATAACCCGTGAATTACAAAAAAGAGTTCGAGTCTCTAAATTATAAATGATCAATGTGTAACTATATCTGCAAATCATAACCATTCTCGGTATCGTACTAGAATATTTATTCTTCTTCTCGAGACGTGTTGACCCATTTCAGTTGTTTATCACTGTAATATTTTGTAGACAATACCAACTATGTATAACAAGCTTCTTTTTTTTTCGCTTAACGTTATATTTTCAATAGACGCGGGCAATCAGTATGATGGTTGCTATACACGTAACTTCATGTCCTTCAATATTATCGCTTCTACCTCTGTTACAACCTTTTCATCTCGGATTTTGAATGTCGGAAACAATTGGTAATTGTCATGGTTGTTACGTCCTCTTGCCACGATTCTTGGATAAACAATGTTGCTTCTAAAATCGATAGTTTATCTCTTTTCCAAATTGTTCCAACAAGCGTCGTACAAACTTCCTTCGATAATGCGCCTTGACATCCCTGCATCGCAAGGCTGTAATCGTGAAGTTGTGTTTGGAGGTAAAAATTTGATGGTTGTATTATTCAACTCCACACCGGCAACTACATGACACGGAGTGTTATCAAGAAGAAGGAGGACTTTCCGGCCTTGCATTTATTGATCAAAGTAATGTAATCATTCCTGAAACAGAATAGTTGTCATCCAAGCTTTTTTTTATATCGATACATTCGCCAAGGTTTTATATGTGAACCATTGCCGTTACAACAAAGAGCCACCGATAATCTCTCTTTTTTTTTACCTGCCAATTGTTGAGTTGCCAATGTCGTATCAGGTTCCCTCCGAAAAAAAAAAAGCCCAGTTTCGTCCATATTGTATATGTCTTTCCATGCGTAATTGTTTGTTAGCTGCTTAAGATCAGTAATGTAATGGCGTCTCCAATTATTAGTTCGCTCACAGAACCACTCTCACCATGTGTCTTTTTATACTGACGAAGCCGGTGTCCATATTCGTATCAAAATGATTTGCAAAAGACCGTGCTTTTCTACTAACAATTGATCTGTTAGTGGTATTTGTCCTGGCATCATTCCGGTAGTGCTTTCTCAAGTTCTGGAAATTTACGTTTCTGGAGGGCTTGTGCAATTCATCTATATCCAAGAATTCACTTGATCGCTTTAGCAATCGAGATATTGTTGCTTGATCGATTTTCACTTTCAACGTCTGTTCAACAAGATTATCCTGCTTTTTCAAGCAAATTTTACGTCTTTGAATATTTTTCAGGGTCGTTTTTGTCATTGGAAAGAAAGAAAGAAAAAATCATCGACTTGTAAAAGAATTTGTTGAAATCTTTATTGGAAAAAGATATCCAATCAATTGCATTTGCTCCATATAATTTGACTATCTTCTTAATGCATAAAATTCTGGTATGCATTAGAGGAGTTTTACTGTAGTTAATCCGACAGCATAAATCTGAACACCACAGAGCAAACTAAGAAAATAAATAACAGGTTAAGTAACTGGGTTAGTAGCTTATTTATATAATGTACTTGATTTTATCGCGTTAGTTTTACGGCATAGTTTAATTACCAATAGACTTGTATTTATAATTAATGTAGTCAATTATGACGAAGTCAAAGTCAGCTGGATAGCTAGAATTTTGTATTTAAAGAACTGCTTGACGACTTGGTTTTAGCAAGTTGTCTGATACGACGCTATGAAAAGTGGAAATCAAATATAATCTACTTGGTCCCAAAAATTGAAAGGCGCTTCCCTGTAATTTTGTGTCGCTTGTATGCTTGAATTCACAGTTGTTAAGAAACTCTTTCTCATAAACAAAATTGTGTAAAATTATACTGAAACTCTATTTGAATGATAATTAATTGCACACACTATACCGAAACGCTGCCAAAATGAAAGCTACTAGCTTATCGCTCCCAAATAAAGTTGCTGGCTCATTTATACCGTTATTATGTCGAAATAAAGGATCTATTTGACTTTACCTTTATTTGTGCCATCAGTTTCCTTTTGCCATGAGAAGACCTATCGAAACTAACTGTCAGTTTGCTTTGACGTTCGAAGGCCTTCATGTTGTTGTTTTACTGTATCTTTAAATTTTTTATTTTAAAGAGAGAATTAATTTAAACTTGAGTTTGTAAAAATACTTAAATAAAATTTTTTTTTTGCTATGGTAAGTCGCACGTGCTTTCCCATCTTCTTTCTGTGTACGTGGGTATATTAATATAAATAGAAACAAATAAGAAACAAAGTTTTCGTGTTTTTACTTTTGTCACGTCTTTTCCGAATTTTAGTTTTTCACGTTTTATCTTTTTTACGATGTCAAAAAAATTCTAAATTGAGGAAGCTGATCGAGGAAAAATTTTAAGTCTTAGAACAGGCGGAAGCAGTACTTCAAAATATCTAAAATTCCACAGTCTTCTGTTTGGGGTATCATTAGTCGCTACAAAAT